CTTCCTGTGGTTTGTTTAAAATCCTATTAAAAATATATGAAGATCTTGAAGTTAAGTGTAAAAAACCTTTCCATGGGAAAATGGTGTAGATTAGAGAAAAACATGATAAAGGGAGACCTTGAAGGCTGATTACTCGAGGAACCAGAAAGAACTAAAGATTACAATTAAAGGAGAAGACACACTAATACAGAATGGAGAAAAGTATCTTGACTCTGGAAAATTTCAAGGATATTTGGCAACACTGTACTCAGAGCTTTCTCCTAAGATTGTCTGATACTATAAAAATGGGTTTTAAAGAGGAGATAGAACAGGATACAACTGTTTTGGATATGGATTTAAAAATGATATAATACAAGGATGATACTGACAAAGATGCTACACAGAACTTACAAATGAAACCAACTGAAATGTTAATAACTAAAAGGGACATACAAATAATAAATCAGGAGAGTGACTTGGATATGTGGATTTCAACACAGAAGAGTGACTTGGACAACTTTCTTATTTTGGACTTACAAAAGAGATGTATTACTCTTATGAAGGAGTTTCTGAGAAAAGATAACGGCAGAATGAAAAGAAATCAGATTTTGGGACATTACTTAAAAGGCATAAACATCAAGGCTTTCAAAACCAAAAAGAAGGATTATAACATTGGTTTGTTTGATCAAGGTTAAAATATATATTTTTTCTTCTAGCAGTTTTTAATGGATTTTTCTTGACCAGGACTGAATGACGAGACCTTAAAGACTTGCTATTAGATAAGATATGGGGAGAAGAGATTTTTTTGTTGTATGATTAGAGAAAATGATGGGTTATGATGTTAAAATTGAAAGAAAGTGTTAAATTTGTGAAGGAATTTCTGAGAGGAGATGAAGAGAAAATGATAAGAAATTAATTTGTGGGATATTATTTGAAGATTAAGATTTTCTGGTAGCTCTTCATGGAATTTTTTTTATTAAGTTTGAATAATGAGCTTTTATAGGTTTGCTTATAGATATAAAATACAGGAAGAGATTTTTGTTGTTGTATTTTTAGAGAGTTACTGTGTAAAGTAAAGGAAAGCAAAGGAAATTGATTTACTTGTTTAATGTTATATATACTGTTATTTCTGGTAAATTCTTAATGGACTGCTGCTGATTAAGATTGAATGATGAGGTTTTATTATTTACCAATAGATAAAAGATGAGATACAGGATGAAGAGATCTTTGGCTGAAATGTTAGAGAAGGTGATAAGTTACTAAAATTGTTTGTACTTGTCTTGATGAAGGGGGAAGTCATTTCTTCATATATTCTTTTTCTTTATGTCTTTTTTCTTTTTCCTCCTCCTCTTTTTTCTTCTTTTCCCTTTGCACTTTGTATTCTTCCATATATATATGTATATATATGTATATATATATGTGTGTGTGTATTTCTTAGTTTGTATTAGTTTTTTATCTCTGTATTTTTAAACTTTAATAAAAATTATTATTTAAAAAAAAGACCTACCTTTTCAGCCAGGCCTTCTCTGTTTGAATTAATGTAATAGTGATTTTGACACTGTGATGAGATTTTCAGTGTTTATGTCTTTAAAAAATTATGATTATCCACCTTGAGTGTCATATAACAAAGGTGGGATATGAATGGTATATAAATGAATAAATAAAGAAGCAATTTTTAAAAAGGCCACTCAACAGGACTCAGTCCATTTTTGGATCCCCCATACAACGTAGCTCAGAGGGGCCCTTAAATTTTTAAATATCTGTGGGAATTGAAGCACAGCAGCAATGTGTTAAAGGAAACAGGATCTAGAAACTGGGAAGATAATACTGCAGCCCTCTGTATGTCACATGGAATTCTGGAGCATATAGACTAATGAAAAACAGCATGTTCTGGCTGCAATTTATTCAGGCAACACTTAAATTAAGTGGGTGCTATAGAATTGCTTCCAGTTTAGCTAGGCTTGATGCAAAGCAAAAAGAAAAATAAAGGCATTCAGTTTCATTTGGTTGACTCTTCATACTATCATTAGGACAGAAACGTGGACGAAATCACAGCTCAATACAGTATGTGAGGGAGTGTATTTCTAGATTATAGGTGTTCAAGAAAAACATTAAACAACAACAACAACAACAACAGATCCTGCCTTTATTTTGTACAACTCAAGGTGGCATATGTAATGCTCCTATCTATTTTCCCCACAACAACAACCCTGTGAAGTGGGTTGGGCTGAAAGAGAGAGACTGGCCCAAAGTCCTGGCTTTCATGGCTATGGGAGGACTAGAGTTCATAGTTTCCTCCGCCACTGGCTCTCATTTAGTGCATTTCTATAAAAATTATAGTGCATTTAGTGCATTTCTCTCATTTAGTGCATTTCTATAAAAATTATAGTCTGCTGTGCTATGGGCAACAAACCACGTATTACCTTCTGGGATATTGAGATACAGCTACTGCCCCAAAACTACAGTATTCATCCTCCTGTTTGACCCAATCCTGTTTCTACATAATTGCCCAAGCACAAGACGAATGGCACCTCTATGGATTGAGTTATTCATATGAACTGCTCTGTTAGTCTGTAGTTGGACATCAGTCCTCTCCATTCAGAAACAGTTTGATGTTCAGCTACATTTCTAAATCTAAGTAAATGACACTTCTCAGCAGTTCCAGCATTCACAAAACACTTGAGCCAGTTCATATAACAGCTCTTGAATAGAATAAATATACAAAGTCTCAGGGATGAAAAACATGGACATCACATAGGACTGGGTCTGAAGAAAAGACGACACAGGGTGGGTGAGGGGAAAATAACTAAAATTAGATAAGCTTTTCTGCAAGCTATAGGAATTCCTTCTCTGTTTGGTTGGCTGATTTGTTAATTTCACTCCATTTCTATTTAACGGCTGGAAGGAGGTTCACACCACGGTGATCCTCCTGCTTTCTCTCTTCCTTCCCTGGAGCAAGATGCTTCACATTTAATAATGCCTTTCAACCTCACTAGAGACAGGTTAAATTTGAAACAATTACATATCAAAGGCGATGGGGCGGGGAGACCCCACACTGTAATTTTTTTGGTTATTAAAGTAATCTCTCTCATGTAAATTCTCTCGCTAACATGCCACAAACAGCATTAGGAAATAAATGATTTCCCCATGATTCGATTTACCAATACAAAGCACCTGCAACAGGCAAAAATGGGGCTCTGAAATATGTTACTGAAGCTGATGTTTTGCACTGCATGACTCCCACAGCTGGAGATCCCACTCTATAACTTGGGGAGGGTGGGTGATGGATGGATGGGGGTGGTGGTTAGGGGAGTGGGAGGAGATGGTGGAGAGAAAGAATTGTACTTAATAATAAAATTTGTATGCAAGTCAGCATCCCAAGCTAGGGATGACTGATCGGCAGCCAGAAAGTATTAAAAAGGCTTGCTAAACAGATGCTGACAATAGAACAAGACATATCAAATCAAATCTATTCCAGAAGCATTAATACACACATACGCACGCACGCACTTTTTTCCCAATCACAGCAATATGGGAGACAT